ATTTTAAAGGGATGAGATGGAAATCACCACAGAACTGGCAGATAATTGTGTGTTTTACCGTGAGGTGGGGAGAGGTGTTTTTTTTATTTACCTGTGGCACTAAATTCCAGTGTGAATACGAACACTGGGGTGGGCAAAGAACACATCTGTCCATCAGCGTGCAAGCTCATGCTGCTCGTCCACATCATTACAACTCAATCGCGGGGCGTTTGAGTGAGCTAGCGCAAACAGCACTCAGCGCTGCTCTGTCCCACTCAGGGAGATACAGTAATGCACTTCTGAAATATGACACCCTTCCCTGGCACCACACTCGTACTGTGTACAACCCTCTGCATAACAGAATGCTGCAGTTGTGCCTAAAATGCAAGACTCTGTTGTTGCCCTGTACCGCGATACAGGATCTGAATGAAATCCATGGATATTCAGCTCCTGTTGAATATATTCATTAAAAAGACTGCACATTGGGACATTTTTTTCTTGATTTTTATTGAATTATAAGTTTCATGCATGATACTGGTAACAGATTTCAAAATTCCAACTGTGAGTGGTGCATCAAATATTCCACCTTTTATATTTTATACTTAACCCCATTAGATGTGACCCCATTGGCATGCTGCTTAAATAATCTCTCTGTAAAATGATTAGCAACACGGACCCATAGCCATAAAATTCAGCTTTTCCATTGATTACGGGGTAATAGCTAGATAGATTAATGCGCTTCTCACGGGGTTCTCACCTCGGCAATGAATCTGAATCACTCATGCACACGGAGCAAGTGGAGCAGCCTCAGTAACCCACATTTGTATCCTCACTCATATATATCTAATGCCAATTACTGATTGGTCCTTCACCGAGCTTCTTCACGTCCTCCTCAGCAGTCTTGCATGAATCCACCCTGACGTGGCATGTCACAGAGCTGAGCTAGATCAATTTAGAAATGTCATTTTTGGAAAAGTGATGATGAAATTCAGCTGTCAGGTCGCGCAGTAGAAACACATCAGGATAAAATCTGAAGTCAAAATGAGCAAGTGTTGGAGGATGTGAAATAAAAAAAGGGGGGGGGGGGGGGGCACCATCATACTATATTGCAGAGTAAGTGAAAAATGTATGATGGAACTCTGCTTTCAGATCTCACAGGCTCAATATCCCCAGCCACCGATAATGCGCAACACTACATCACCGACATTAAATATTCAGGGGCTCGCTACACCTAGGTGAACTTGTGCACCTATACACTCACCTCGAGCACACAATGGAAACAGTCTGTTAAAGATGACTCGAGCAGAACAGAATTTACATTAGCAAGTCAACTGCAACAACTGCTCCTTTCAAACCAGATGTCAGAGCTATTAAACTCTACACATGAGCTCAGGACTCATTGCAATGAGGAACACATGCCAGCCCCATTCAGCTGAGCAGTTCAACTATGGCTATAGAAATATGACTATTTCTTTCTGAAAATGAAGTCATTTATAATGAAGGGCGCTATATGTAGTATTAATGAGACCTTTTTTAGTTGCGGCCACAACGATAATCTTTGAGTGGCCCCGAGCCAACATAAAAAAAGCAATTTCCTAAACCAAACTGAACTCAGTCAGTTTTACCATTTTAAATGGTGAATAAGGGAAGCAGAATTCAAAGCACTTAGAGAGCAAGGGAGAAAAACGGCTTTAATATAGTTTAGGAAAAGATTTTCCATTGTGCATAATGTTGGTGCTTTTCTAATGTCTTTCCAAAGTGCAACAGAAGTCCAAAAGCGGATAATGAAAGACATTTTTAATAGATGTTTGCAACATACACCGTCTTCTCTCCTCTCCTAGAAGTGTGTGGTGCCCAGCAGTGAAAGCGTCAACTTAGCGCTCCAAAAAAGAATGACAAAGTGAATGACATCATTACTGAACTGTTCCCTCACCGAAAAAAAAAACAGTCTGTCATCCATCCACAGACATGACTTTCCCAGCACCAGACAATTATATATAATCTATTTTACAGTAATGACAACAATACTAACAGCCTGCATCTTACCTGGTTATTGATGCACAGAGCAAGGTGCTTCCTCTCCCGAGCCAGACTCCCGCTGCGCAGTCTCACCTCCTCTCCTTGGTGAACATTTCTGTAAGGACATCACTCAAGTTAGAGTGCAAAACTCTCAAAAATATGAAATATGTCAGAATCTCTCGACATGCGAGGAGCCTGTACTCTGTGTCCAGCTGCAGAGAGTACCGATACGTAGGGTTTTAAAATCACTCATCAGTGCTTGAAGCAGCCGTTACCGGAGCTTCCCGTTTAACCGAAATAACAAACACTGCTGCTTTACATTTGGGACTAAGGCGAGTCGCTGCGCGGGTTACTAACCTGTACGTGCCGCTCCTCAGCATGACGAGCTCTCCACCCGCAGTCAGACAGAGATGCAGTGAACACTTAGAGTCGGGAGCAGCCGGTGAGCGACCACACTTGGAAAATTTTCGCAGCCAATGGGATGCTAAGGGTGTGCGCGTGCCCCCCGCCTCTGCTTTTCAATACAGCGCCCCCCCCCGCCCGCGCGTGTTGACACGGCGTCATTTAACTTGGCGATCGACTTTAATCGCTGTATTCTGCGCGGTTTATCTTTTGCGTGTGTGTGTGTGTGCGCGCGCGCGGGGGGGGGGGAGGTTGCTGGGAATTGCTCACGGTGTGCCAATCTATTTGCTCTTAGCAACTAACTTCCAGGGTGTGGGTTGGACTCAAGTTAAACAAACAGCACGATTGATATTTTATATCACGCCACCCTACACAGACTCAGGTGAGAACCGAAGAGGTGAGGTATAAAGATGCCTAAATACTAAAAGGCCTCCTTTAAGGGTCGTTTTGCTGTAGGGCCTATCAAACCATCAGATTTGGCCTTTTGGATGGAGGACTTCCAAATCTGCCCGCTGTCCACCTACTATAAAAGGATCCTTATCCCGGTGTCCTACAGCCTAGTCTTTTTGCTTGGCCTGAGTTTAAACGGCGTCCTGCTGTGGTGCGTTATCTGTCGGACGCGCCGCTGGAGCAACACGGTGATCTACCTGACCAACCTCGCAGTCGCGGACCTCCTCTTCGTGTTGGCCCTTCCTCCACTTATCATCAGCGATGCTATGGGAAACTTCTGGCCCTTCGGCAACATCTTCTGCAAAACTGTTAGATTTGTCTTTCTGGTCAACCTCCACTGTAGCATAATGTTTGTCACCTGCGTCAGCGTTCACCGGTTCATCGGGGTGTGCTATCCCATCGCTGCTGTGCGCCTCAGGACCAGAAAGTTCGCCATCCTTGCGTCAGGGTCCATTTGGATTCTAGCCAATGCCGAGATTTCACCGACATTTGTGTTTGCGCACACGGGTGTGATCAACAACATGACTGTTTGCTTTGAAATGACCGGCCCGACGCAATTTGATATGTTCTTTCCATATGGGCTGTTCTTGGTTATAGCGGGCTTTTTGATCCCATTCTTGGTCGTGGTCACCTGTTACTGCTCCATGATAAAGGTGCTGTACTGCGGGGCCGCGGACTGCATTTCTAATACCAGGAAACAGCGTGTGCGCAAAAAGTGCTTGTATACCCTTTTAACTGTGTGCCTCATGTTTGCCGTTTGTTTTGTGCCGTATCATATTGTCCGCACTGTCTACATGTTTGTCAGAGTCTACATGCCAGGAAACTGTCATCTGCTGAACCTGGCCATGATCACGTTTAAAGTCTGGAAACCGGTTGTCGTGCTAAACTGCTGCGTAAATCCTCTCATCTACTTCTGTAGTTCTCAGCCAAAGCGTCTGAAGTTCAGAGCCTGGCTCTGGAGGAGGAATAAAAGAGTGGAGCCCACTGTGTGTCTGGTCAGCAAGAGGTGTGAAGGGTATAATCCGTGAAGGGATGTGATCGGTAGACAACAGTGATTTAAATTATCCTACAAACGCATTCTCTGTGTTTTATACTTCATTTTATTGATTTAAATTAAAAAATGCATTTGTCATAACTAAACAATATACAAAATTTCACTAATTGTGCAATTATTATGCAAATACTAAGGTCATCTTGCAATTAACTTGCAAAACTGGAGCAACACCACAATCAACAGACTGCTCAATAGAAAGCAGCAACACTGTGGTCATAGGTGACATTAAACATTTGTGGGAACTGGTGCCCTCTGTCGTATGTAGAGAATCTTATTTCTAAAAGAGAAGAAATATTCAGTTCAAAAATGGAAAATAAGACAGGTCTAAAATATTCCAAACAGTGACAATATGTAGCCATAAAACAAACACACCAGCGAACACTCGGAACAGTAATTCAAGTGAAGATTAAAAATAACCTGGAGGTAAAAAGCGCTTCAAATTTCCATTGAAAATAGGACATTTTTTTAAAGCATCGTCTATTTTAGCATATACTTGTCTCGAGGCACAGAGTGACAGTGTTGGAGCAGCAGACAGCTGAATGAAGGGCATCATTTCAGAACACTCCTGTAAGCAAGTGATGACAGATGGCTGGAGAAGTGGTCTGGGATCTGAGCGAAGAGAAGACAGGACAGATTAAATGAAGAAGAAAAACCCCCACAGTGGAAGTTACAACAGCGAAGAAGCAAAGCCTACAAACAGAACAATAATAGAAAAAACATAATGTTCTATCACTGTAAAGATAAGAGGCTGAACGGATTAATAAATGGCTCTCTTTGAATATGAATTGCATAAAGTGTGTGTGTGTTTGTGTACCTGTGCGCCCAGCCTGGAGAGATAGCGGTTGCGTAAGCCAAAAGCAGACATGGGTGCCAGTCTAGCCAGCTCACCCTGTGTCGGCTTACTTGGCTGCCTTTCTTTCCTGCAGGAAAAAATAAAATAACATAGACACTTTGAACATCTCTGCAGCCAACACTAACATGAACACAATTATGCAAATATTACAATAGGATTAGTCACCCAGTCTGCTGCAGAAGACAGAGAAAAGGACACAAAAGTATTACAGAACTACTTCAATAAAAAAAAATAAAAAAAAAGGATGCTTTAAAAAAAATGTTTAATTGAATGTCATTGTTCATGGCATCAAATGTGATCTTTTCAATAACTTTGAATTTTTCTGTACCATTTCACAGTCATCTTGTACACAGTTCAAATGTCAGTTAAAGTTTAATACAAGTTTTCTCTGTTAAACAATTGCAGTGAGTTCCCGACACCACAGAGCAAACAAGCTGACCGAGCAGCCATTTCTGAGTATAGTCATTTAAATGTGTAACTACCTTTTTTTTTTTCTTCCCTTTTTGTACTATTAATTGTACTGGCTGTCTTTATGTATGTATGAAATTCTTGTTAAGACTCGAATAAGGGTTCATTTGCCCAACTGAGGTAGTGAATGTTAATCATCCACAGTGCGTGACCCTGCCATTAACACAAAATCCTCCTCCCACATTACTGGAATGGTCAGTGTTAAGCTGAATATGTTGTTACACCATTAAGATAAAACAAATATCAATTTGGGGAAGTGCTTAGAAAGAATTAATTACCTGAGCTTGATAAAAGAGCAATAAAGACAATCGATAAAACACAATTTTTGCGTGGAACTGATCTGACTCTTTAAATAAATAAAGGTCACATTAATGGAAGAGTTTATAAAAGTTGAGACTGTGAATATCATTACATGGGTAAGCTCTGCTCTTTTTGAGATAACCTGCCACACAAAGGTCAATGAAACATATTAGAACTGACTATGAGCCCATTGTGCCCAAGCACAGTCCAAAAAGACTGATTTTGGTTAGTAATTGTGACAAATGGTATGTACATAAATGAACTGCAGAGCTTTCTGCAACCAGGCTAATAACAGTTGTGCAGAAATGTTTTTTTTTTTGTAAAAACAAGAAAACAAAAAAAACAAAACCCCAAACATTTAAAATCAGTTACCCCATTTTACATGTTAAAAAGCTAAATTAACAATAAATAGTACATGATAAAATCAAAGGACCCCTTCACTCTGTGCTGTAAGTACAAATGTCATCTTTTGATAATTCAAATATTTTTCAAGCATGCTGAACTTTGACACACACAAAAAGTCAGTAGTGAGTGAATCCAAGTAGAAATAAAGTAACTTTGACACGTTGGAGAGTAACTGTGGATTAAGTAGGATATGTCGTTTGTCAAGTGTCCCGTAAAATCGCATTTAGACATTTATGCAAGGTTATGCAACAGTCCCAATTCCAGACAGTCAGTTCTGGTGTGAAGAACCACAGATGACATCACTGGGCGGAGTCAGAACCGCAGTCCTGCCCCATGGTAGCAGATTGAAAGCTCAGGGGTGGACACTGCAGCCTGCTGGCTCTGAAGCCCAGGACCATGTGTGTTCGCTCATCATCATCATCATCATCTGGAAAATATCAATTAAGGCATGAACCAGGAGATATTAATCAGTCTGCACAAGTCATAACACACACATAAAAATAGAGATTAGTCAGGTTCTACATGAGTCCAGAAAACATGTGACTTTCATCGTTCTTTCTAATTGTAACTGTGAACTGAAAGTAGAAGTATTGGTTTCATTCAGTGCTGCGAGTACAAAATAAACCAACCACAGCTAACATGCACGTGTCAGTACAAATGAATATGAAAGCCGAAGCACATAACCCAGCCAGCTAATATAGAAAATGACTTCCTGAAGTTAAAGAAGACTCGCTTCAAAACATGTTTGCCTGTGTGTGTTTATTAAAAAAAAACAACTTTTGAACTAAAACCTAATAAAGGATTTTTACCTTTAAAATTTCTCTTTGTTGCAGAACCAACAACAAAGTCTGTGTCAGTCCGCTTCATTTTTATATGTGTAATACATGTATAATATATAATACATACAAAATACATGTTGTACAGGTTTCTTGCATTTTAAGCGTGGATAATAAGAAATCATAACATTATTGATACACTGTATTATATCCCTAGCAAGTCCATAACCCTGTTCTCTGTAACAACCACTCTGAACAAATTAAAGTTTAATCGACCAAAACTTTTGGTATGTTTTATAACCTCTATACATTATTAACTATTATTTGTAGTTAAAACTATTAGTTGTGTCTATATTGGAAGTTTCTGTCTACCTACAATGTGTTTATGTCACTTGACTGCATGAGAGAAGTGTTCAATACGTTTCTGAGATGCTTGTCTAATTGATGCGCAAGTGGGTGGAAAAGCACTGACGGTGTGTGGAAGGTCAAAGCTACTCACTCTGCATCTGAACTGGCTTCTTTACTGAGTTTGGCTCTGGCTGCGGCTGACAGGTTCAAATCTCCTCCTGGAGCAAGAGAAGGAAATAGGCAGATTAAGCAGTGAGTGAATCTGATGGTAAGGAAAAGAGTGTGAGAGTAAAGTGAAAAGATGTCATATGAGAAAGCTTATGAAGAAAATCGGAGACAATAAAGAAACACAAAACAGAGAGGAAACTGTGGGACAATTCAACACTCCAGTCTTTTCTCACCTTTAATGTAATCCACAAAGTACAGCAACACTGCGGCTATCAGTCCAACTACAAGAAAGTGGAAGGAAAACCAATGCAAAAAAAGACATAACCAACAATGGCACTCACAAGTGTCTAACAAGACTTTGAAAAAAAAAAAAGGGAAACAAAAAGACATAAAAGTACTGACCACAAATGCAGGCGCAAAAAAACACTTCCAGAACCAGGTACCCTTTGCTGTCGAGGATCGCCCCTGCCGCTATGGAAATGATAGCGAGTCCCAGGTTCTGAATGGACTGCATACTAATGTGCAAAGACAGAGAACACACATCAGTGTCAATATAGCAATATTTATATGTTAATGGGTGGCCCAAACAAGCAGAATATGTATAATTTAAGTCTTAATGATAAAAAAAAAGGCACATACAAGCCATAGGCTGTCCCGAGTTGATGTTCAGGCACGACAAAAGCCACCATGGGCCAAAGTGCACAGGCCAATAAGGAGTATGACACGCCAAGCAGGGACTGGAAATCAAGCAAATGCACAGAATCTCACTTTACAATTTCTCAGTTGGCTGAAACCAAAGAAGTTAACTGGACACGAGATAAAACAATTCTCCAACTGAAAAAAAGTTTTAGTTCATCCACACGAACAGACTCAATTTTCAAGACATACTATAACGGTTTATGAATGTGCAAAATGTTTAAGTGCAGTGTATAAGGTTGCCAGGGAAGTCACCATTGCGATCCATGGGTTCCAGAAAGTGAAGGCCAGCATCATGTGAGCGGCAAGTGTTGCTGCCACTGCAAGCAATACCCAATACACGTTCCTCCCAGTCTTATCAACCATGAAGCCCAAAACTGGAGATGCAGGGGCTGATATGATGTACACAATACTAGGAAAGATAGACAACGGACAATGAATGATTCATGTTAAAACATTATATAAAGAATATCCTTATATTAAATGAAGAACACGCTATTTTAGGAAATTCACCCGCCACAAAAACTGCAGAATATAAAGAGTGCTAATATCTTAAGGTAGCTTGGTCTCAGTTGCCCAACAGGCAACACCTAAGCTGAGTTACCTGTTGACAGCTCTGGCTTGAGCTGGGGAGAAGCTGAATTTTTCAATGAAGAACACCCTGCGAATGAAAAGACAAGATGATACGTTCACAGTACAAAGCACTGCTTAGCTTTTTGGCTGTTATGACAACAAAAGGAGAGATTGAATTTTCATAGCAGCCATCCGCTCAGTTAGCGCTGACCCATTGTGGCAAATCCATGTCAGTTGCTACGTGATCTGAGAACGCCTTTCAGTGAAGGAAATTCATTTTGTAATGGCTGCAATTGTGTCCTTTCACTTCAAAGCTATTTGTCAAAAACTCCCTTTGTAGTTTAATCACAACACAACATTGTGAGGTTGAACAACTACCTTCATGACGGTTCTTTATTTAATTCTTATCAAGCATTTTAACCATAACAGTGCATTATTTAGAGTGGGAGTTCTTTCTTCACTCAAAGCTAAATGGTTATGGGCACATCACAGGATATGTTGACTTTAGGAAAGACTAAATCAGGTCACTTTTAACATTAAATGAATAACATATAAAATACACCACTAACAAACAAAGATAATGCACTTGGATGTTTGGATCCATGTGCTGCTTCCTGTATTTCATGAGAAACAGGGGATGCACAGAGCAGACAGCGTTCTGCAGACAGTATATATACTATAAAAGCAATATAAGGACCACTGGAGGAAACATGGTGTTAGAGGAAGAGTGCAGACGTATGGAGTACTCACTGTCCCAGTCCAATAAAGGGGAAAACTGCCACGTAGTAGCCTACACAAACGATGAAGATAAGCCACAGGGCTGCAGGGAAATGCTTCACATCCGTGATCTTGATCACTTCGGCTAACATGCAACACAAAAAACAAATCTGTCTGAGAACACCATTTGCTTTGACCAACTCTAAAAGAATAAATGCTTCTTTAACACATGTCAACCTTTTTCCTTATTGACAAATGCTACAGCATGCCAAATTTAAACGTTTTCTTCCCCGCCGAGTAGTAGTTTTCATCCATGATTCTGCAGACTAAACCATTTGAATACAAAAATGCCATCAGTTCATTATTTTATCATATTTGATGTGCGTGATTTTTTTTTTAATAATTACTTCATGAGTTAGGCAGGATACACATGGATGCATTTCAGGCTTCAGCGCTCTCACTTCTCATTTCCCTTTTAATAGGGTGACATCATGCGATGCCAACTCAACTTGCTAATGTTGCTTCTGCTGAAAATTTTTGAGAAATTAAACTGTTGACAAGCCAGCAAATGGGTTAACTAATGAAACCACACAATGCAACCATTGCAACCAAAAAAAAAAGGTTTTGAGAGGTCAGAGAGACCTTTGACAACTAACTTCTGGTAATTTCAACCTAAAGACCAAGTGGATATTCTTGACATTTTAAATGTAAATAAATTCAAGAGGTTATTTTTGTCATGTGACTAGGGTTAGAACCACAAAATCACCTCTGGCTATAACTGCCACCAACACAACAACAACAAAAAGTCCAACACAACAGAGAAAGTAGAGTCAAACCAGATAGTTGGTTTTAGAGCTCAACAAAACAAAAACTAAATCTGACTTTGCACACGGGGGCAATCTGCAACGATTGTGGAAGGACTTCTAGTATTCATTCACTGATGTGAGTGAAAGAGGGAAAACACAAAATTGAGGGAGAAAGTATGGGAAGATGTTACCTGTTCCTTCTTGTTCCTTGTTGAGGATCCTCTCGGCTCTTTTGTCAAGGAATCCCAAAACCAAGGCACAGACTAGGGAAAACACGCACGTTATGGCAGCTAAGGGGAGAAAAAGAAATGGAGAATCAAAATCATTTTATTGCCACTAAACATGTTCAGTGAAATTAGAAGCAGCAGGAAACAACACAAAACTGCAAGTTGTGCAAAAGTGGAAACGTCTGCATGTCAGAGGATAACGTTACAAGAACTGGCACTTCTTCTGTTCCTTGTGATTCGTCTGGAACAGCCAGCAGCACTTTTAGTTCTCTATATCACTTCTCTCTGTTGGTTTGTGCTAGCTGTGTTACTTGAACTTAGAAGTAAAAAAGAAAGGGTGTAGCATTTCTACCAAACAAGGAAATAAAGGGGGTGTAACTGGAGTCTGAGAGTGTAAAACTCACCTGACAAGTCAGGTTCAGTGAAGTGCAACTGTAAAACATTTACCTATCAAGAGTGATGCACCCAGCACGGCGTGTCCAGGCGAGCCAACAGCATCTGTAACTCTGTTATAAATCCAGCCCATTATGTTCATGTTCACCGTGCTGCCCTTGGGATGAGCAGAGAAGTCAGTGGCATGCATTTTGTACAGCTTACCTCATTGAAAATATCAAAACAAACAAAAATACAAGTATTTCAAAGCCTGTATAAATGCACTTTTTCATTTGGAGCGTTCTTACCACGCGAGCCATGCTCAGCTGAAGGCCAAATACTAGATTGAGCTCCTTGCCTTTGAACCAGTTCACTGCATATGTGTTTTGGGCTACTGCCAAAGACTCTCCTCCAATACTACCCAAGAAAAGACAACATAGAAGGGATCATGTAAGCAACAAGACTGAAAACCTGAGTCCTAGAATCAGACTTTAATGTCTCTTGACGGATAAATATATGTGACTGAATAACACCACACTGACTTTGTTTTAGCGACTTGATGTGTGTTCGGGTTCGCTAAGAATCCCCCATATATGGTATTTCTGACTATATCATTCATATTCTGTAAGCTGATATGAATCAGTGTCATAAGAAACTGCATGTTTTTTATTACTATTTCAAACAAGAAAAGGACCAATGTTTGTTTGTTTTTTACGTTTTTACATGCTAGTAAAATAAAAAGGTTTAACTAGAAGACAGTTTGTTTTGGTTTTATTACCCAAATATAAATCGTCCAGCTTCCATTAGCCAAAATTGATTTGTCCATGCTCCAGCAGCAAAGACCACCTATGCAGAGGTAGAAAAGTTAAAAACAATCTAATCACCACAGTTTTCCCAAGGATTTTTTCTATTGAGCTATATGGATTTAAACAGAATGTATATCTGTAACTGCATTCTTCTGAAACTTCAAGAGTATATTACCTGTCCAGCACAGACAAAAAGGGAAAAGATGATGGTTCCCAGCCTGTAAACAAGAACATGGGGAAAGATACCAATCAAGACGACATGTACAAAATCCATACGGAGCATTCACTTTTGTCTTTTGGGTGAAAATACATACACAACACATAGTTGGCAAAAACATACAACCGACTGGTTCTTCTCGTTACCTGACACCAAAGACCCGATCAAGCAGAAATCCCCCAAAGAAGCAGAGGACTACATTAGGCCAGGAGTACCAGGCGTACAACTGCATGAAGTCTGCAGTCGTCAGATGCAAATCCTGGGCGAGTCACAGAAGAAAAACAACAGACATTGGACTCTCGCTTTGTGTTAGTTTTTGCTATCATTTTGTGTTGAGCACAATGCACAGTAGGCTCTAGGTTTTTGAATAAATCTGTGTAACACCATTTACTAGGAATCTTATTTGACTGTTCTTGTTGTTTATTATGTAGATTTTTTTTGTTTACATAGAGTATGGTGATCTTTAAAAGATAACCTCTGTTCTATATAAAAATAAATCTCCAAAAGCTTGTTAGTGTGGGATTAAAATAAATGTCTGCATTTGGTTTTAAGGCCCTGGTGTAAAAATTTGAATTATGTGTGAAATACCTGGATGACTTGACTTTGGAGTGCAGCGGGATTATCGTAACAGAAGTAGCTTCCTGGAACAAAGCACCCACATTAGCGGGGCTCAGACGTGACACTATTGCATTTATTATACATTTCATACATAATAAGCAGACAACAACGTGCATTATTTACAGTAGCTTGATAGTATTTAACTTTAGTTAGTCCCAAATCTCCCAAATAGCTCGCCGTGCCGCCTTTTACTCCTTACCGAATCCCAGGAAGCACATAAAAAAAAGGACAACCAGTCGGTGCAGTAAGCGGCTGGGGTCGCAGATGGCGAGCATGGGCCTGCCGGGTCCACTGCCCCTGTCCTCGTCTCCCAACAATCTCTGCCGCTCTTCCAAATCCGCCATGTTCGATTATTTGTGAGGTTCACAGCAGAGAGGAAGACCTAAGAGTGTCAGTCATATGACCCGTTATGCACGTCACGTGGCATTATGTTCGCAGTGAAGCTGGCGTACGCCTCGGGAGCGCGCACAGTCAGCTGAGCGGAGTGGGATGAGTGTAAATAACAGACGAGGTTTCGTCTTACACAGTGAGCACAAACGGTTAGTTAGTAAGGTTTAGTAACGTTTGTCACGATGTAGCATGAAATATTAGACGCTAAAAGCTACTGTTGAGATCACCTTTCCCTGAAAAACGAAAGATGGTCTTTTAGGGATGTTTTGAAAAAGAAGAGCGGAGTTTGCGTTTAAAAATTCTTCTTTGAAGAAACGAAAGCGGATTCAAGTGGTTTTAAACTTTACAGTAAAAAGTGTGGCAGTATTTTTGGACAGATAAAGTAGTCACTTTAATTTAAAAGCTTAAACTATTGTGATAGCTAGTTTCGTTGGTCACCGGATTCAAAGATGGTGAGAATAAAGGTTAATGAAAATTGTAAAGACTATATTTCTTCATAGGAGATGGAAGAATAAAGCAATAAAGCTAAATCGCCTATATTGGAATTGAATTGTCAGGTGACCTGACAGGTGATTCCCAACATGTCATCAACATGTCAAAAACTATACAAAACTACAAACTACAAAAACTTGGTGGGTGGGGGGCGCTGATAGTCACAAAATAAACAAATGCTATTCTCATTACACTTACACGTTAGATTGAGCAAATATGATAAATTGTATTTCAAAAACCAATACTCAGACATTTATCTCAAATTACAGACGCTGATTTGATGGTAAGACAGACCAGTGACAGACCAGGATTTTATCTTTTAATAGTTTTCAAGATTTTCATGTTTAAACATTTCATAGTGTGAAAAAAAAAAGCCTAAAAGGGGGTCAACCGATCATCTTGAAACATATTTGATATATGAAGTTTCAATTGTATAACAGCCCAACTTTGGACTATAAATCTTTTATGCAAATCAGAAAGAGCTGAGCAGAATGCTCACGTTGATGAAAACGGCATGACTCGTGCCAATTCGATATTTTGTGGTATTTTATGTTTTTACCCTCAAGCGGGTCACCTCATAAACTGTACCCGGTGTTCATCTGTAGTGAGTGTAGGCTGACTGTCCACTGTTTTGTGAAAGGAGACAGATACAGGTTGAGGAGTCAGTGTCTTTGAAGTGGATATAACATTTTTGGACACAGACTCTTGGCAAATAAACTCTCATATGATGTGATAATGTAATCACACTCTTTATCAGAGTAATACTGTTAATAACCCCCAATGTTATATCCATCCATCCATCCATCCATCCATCCATCCATTTTCCTCTGTTTATCTGGGGATGGGTCTCAGGGCAGCAGCCTGAAGCAGAGAAGCACAGACCTCCCTCTCTCTGGCCACCAATTCCGGGTTGTGTGGCAGAACACCAAGCTGTTCCCAATCAAGCTGCAACATATAATCTCTCCAGTATATCCTGGGTCTGCCCCAGAGCCTTCTCCCAGTGGAACATCCCCCGACACCTCACCCAGGAGGCATCCTTGTCAGATGCCCTAACCACCTCAACTGGCTCCTTTCGATGTTTTACGCTCAGCTCTCTCATTGCAGCACCACAGCGCCAATCTGTCTGGCGATCTCCTGCTCTCCTCTCCTCCCCTCGCTCGTGATCAAGACCCCGAGATACTTCAATTGATTCTGATTCTATGTATATATTTTTTCAGATTTTTTTTACTTTATTGTAACCAAATGTAGATTCCGTGCAATATAAATATATCATCCTAACATATTTAATTGTCTAATAAACTTCCTAAAATCACAGTGAGTGTTTTAAAACTGTTGGCAGCTCTAACATGAAAACATTACTTGACAAGTGTGTTCGCGCTCAGCTCCATATTTTTCCTGCTTCCTTTTTTATTTTGACAGTCTCTCATCCTGTGTTCAGTGTGTTTAGTTTTACTCCCCCTGTGTCATCATGTCCATTCATCCCAGCTGTTGTCACCTCTCTGTGTATATATTGTGTGAGTTTCCCTTTGTTTGTCGTCTGTTCGTCTAGCTCAGGTACTAGATGTTTCATATTTCGTGTTTCATGTTTAGTTGAAATCAAGTTTTGTTTCCACATGTCTGCTTTTGGGTCCACATTTCAGCCTTCACACGGTCTGTCAGTGCAGACCTTGACATTACTGGTTTTGCTGACATGTGAGCTACACAACCATGCAAGTAAATGTCAGTCCCTACCTCATGTTATAGATCCCTAGTCATAGAATTCTGTTTCTGTGGAAATGGGTAGGTAACATTATCTTTGGGGGGTTTATTTAATTTCCATGAATGTAATTTAGTATTTCTCATAATTCACTACTATCATCTGTCAGAGGATTTAATCTGAAGGTGATGAATGGTCCTTCCCCCGGCTGCAGTTGCTACTCTCCCCACTCAGTAGCTCATTAATTTCCTGCCCAAATATCAGCCTCTATCGTAACCGACAGTGGGTGGGGTGGAGAAAGATCATATTTCATTATTATATTAATCAAACCCACATGCAGACTGGATTATAAATCAGGTGGGAAGTGACATTAATTCTGCCGAACCAGTTTGTGAATGTCCAGAAGCCCATCTTCGGGGTGTGGTAGTGTGGGGAAAAGTCCATTAATTCCAGATCTGTAGGGGAGAGCGGGGTAAGTTGTCACACTCTTCACACTGACTAACTTTTACTGAGCACCATACATCACAACGTAATAAATGTTTCACCAAATGAAAGACGGAAGTCTCGGGCACATATGATGTATTCATTACATTTTCATATCTTATCTCATTACGGAGTTGTAGACTGTTGAAAGGAGAATGTGCACTTGTGACAATTTGCCCCATCGGCAGGTAAGTTGTCACACTAGATTATCTTAAAATATGAACACAAATACTTAATTATGATTATTGATTTTAATTGTTAAATTCAAACCAAAACTGGAAATTTGAACAATTATGCCAAGAGAATTTGGAAAAAAACAATTATTTCAATCCAATACACATTTTAATCAAAACATTAAGTAGAAAGAAAACTTTAGTTTGAACTTTAAACTCAAATGTTCTCTGGCTTGCACATAAATCCATCATAACTGAATGGAATGCTGCAAATAACTTGCTTTACTTAACATGTTTATACTCTGAACAAAACAGATGCCTTATTTCTGATTAATCAGACTCAACTTCATAGTCACAATTCTGGCACACATAAATTGCCTGGCCTGAGGTGCAAGCATCATGGGCCCATTTGTTGCATTTTACGCATTTTACCCAGGTCTCTTTTGGACGACTGTTTGAAAATGGCTCCACACAGACAAGGCAGAAGCACTCTTCATCATCTGATGATGACTCTTGAATTATTTTTCTTCTTTTAGCTGCGTTGTTCTTCATAGGTCCAGATGTTTTCCCCCCTTGCGTCCCTCTCTTTTGAAACAGCTTTTTGCTAGATTCAGCCTTATTCTTTTCTTTTTCTAGTTGCTGCTTCACTGGCGTGTCGGTTAGAATTGCTGATTTGCGTCGTTTTCTTCCTTTGCTGGATGGTTTTCGGCGGCCAGCTTTTGGATATGGCTGGATGTCCTCTGGAGTTGGTAGTCCGCTGTCAGTAATTGCAGTGCGGTAATTTATGTCAAAATCCTTTGCTGTACTTGTGATTGATTTGTTCTGCATCTTTACCTGCCTGACTGCCTTTAACATAATGTCAGGTGGTGTTCTGCCACGCTCTGTCTTTCGTTGATAATTTCGAACCATCTTACTTTCTTCCTTCCTTCCTTAATTCCTGCCTCTCCTTCCTTTCTTCAAAAACCTTATTACAAATACAAATGAATGACAATATCACAATTTTTTGGAGCATTTATTTGTACTGGGGCAAGTTGTCACATGTGACGACTTGCCCCAAAGTTAATGAGACAACTTGCCCCAAACTGACATTTATGCTAATTTTGGCTAAATGTCAGGGTTAGCTCAACATAGGACATCAGCTGAAGTATCAAAAGACACGTTAATGTCTCCTCTATTTTGTGTAAAATAATAATCTGTAACATCTATACCTAACAAAGTTGTACTGAAGAAAATTTAAAGTGATTTATTTTTCCTTTTAGGTCAAAAAAATAAAAAAGATGTGCTCACCTCAGATTAGAGCAGTCTTGACCACATGTGAACAGGAGGTTGACTATAGAAGAAGAAGTCACACAAAGTGGCTATTTCATTTTTGAGATAGAGCCTCTAGTGTTGGAGTTATGAACAGTGTGACAACTTACCCGTGTGACAACTTACCCCGCTCTCCCCTATTCTTTTTCCCATCCCTTGTTCAATTTGAAAATTCATCAGAAGCTGCTGCAGCATTGTGAAAGGCAGTATACTATACTTGGAAATTCTTGCAGCATTGCTGGGCGTTGTTCTAGTTGGGTTGCAGTGGTTGTTATCAAATAGCTGATCTCCTGCAATGCGCTATGTGTCTGCGTTTCTGTCCTCATGTTGGACAGGGTGTTGTTCATTGTTCTTTTTTTTACCTTCATTGTTTTTTTCAAAAAATGTCCCAAATATGAAATAACACTGATATTAGATAGGTAAATATTGTCATCTATCATTTAGTGTAAAGTGTGCAAGCAAAAAACAAACAAACAAATAATTCAAATAATTAAACACCATGAAAAGTTATTTGAAGGTCTGTGTTCCTCAACCATATTCCTGTCAAGCTTTCATAATGCACTGACCTTTTCTTTCTATTTAATTGGCATCTTTTCTTTAAGTACCAGATGTGACAGACTGACTAACACCAGTATTTACGTTTCCCAAAACAGATATTTAAATTTTATATTTGCCATTATGTTTGGTTTTATTTCATTTTTAATATTCACTTTCAATTCAGTTTAAGCAAACTAAAGATAAGGACCATACCACTGACCTTCTGATTAGCAAACAGCGCACTTTATCACCTGATGCAGACACAACATTTTGTCAAGATCATGATCTCTTATTCACGATCTCTCATACTTG